TTTTTTCTTTTCTGACAGTTTTCAGATTAGGCTCTAGTCTGATTCTTTAATCTAAATCACTAGGGTTTTTTTTTTTCTGCCAGTTTTCAGATTAAGCTCTTGTCTGAAGTCCTGATACACAGCGACCACCTTCAGAAACAACCCACTTCCTAAGGAAAGCTAGTTCTTACTATTCACTTTTTCATAATGTTTTGAAAATTTCCATTTTTCCTTCTCTTTTCTTTTTTCATAAATATAATAACAGATGTTTCTATTTATTTGACATGCATGTTCATGTTAGGAAAGGCCCTAGAATACAACATTGTCAGTGGTTTGTTTCATGGTGGGAGGAGAAGTAGTGCCTGACCAGCCCATTCATGGGGGCATTGGTCTAACAATCTTTTGTGAATTATGCCACTTTACCAAAAAGATCCTTAATATTGTCTTTATCATGACTTGCTACAGCTCTTGGATTGTGTTGGCCATGCAGGTGTTCTGGAGTTCCCAGTCAGCCTTTGATTTAAGTAGATATAAATACAAGAATCAAGAATTTTGTTTGGTTAAGTCCCTCTTGTCCATTGGCAAACACATCACTGTACACATCATTGTGAAGCCCTGTCCCTATCTAGTGTGTATTGGTAGCTAAATGTCCTGCAAGAATAACAGTGCCATGCTACTGTATGTAAATATTTCAGACTTATGTATGGTAGAATTCACTGTTTCCTGAAGTCAATACAGTTTACACTGAGTGGACCATATTTGAAAAATACTAGCTTACACCAAGAAATGGAGTGAATTGCAATTTCAGTTATATTTATTGAATCATAACCCATATTTAGTGGAATTGGTAGTAATCTATAGCTGTGTTTTGCAGTGTGAATTATGTTTCTTTGCAGCTAGTGTTTTTTGCACAAGGTTGTAAATCCAGGAAGTAAATTCTGTCTGGGTATATGCTGCATTTTTTTTAAAGCAATCAGAACATTAAAACTGCCATCTAACAAGCAGCAGGAGAGGAACGAGTGTTGTATTTTCCAAGTTTAGCACTTTATGTCTGCAATCCTTTTCTCATAAGTTATTTTAAAATATTTTTTTAAAGCAAAGTTTAATACATGTGTTCATACGTACTGTACATTTGAATAAATGGATTCTCTGCTGGAAAATTAATTTAATCTTTTTCCTGTAGTGTGATCATAATTGTGCTTATTGGGAGTGAAGCATTGTTTTCCTTTTCTGTGTAGTGTCTTTTTTGTAACATTGCTTAGTGTTCTTCCTTTTCCTTTTTATTTTGTTCTGTTTTATGTACTGTAGCAGTTCATATAACTTGTGTGCTCTGGACTGTGCTCCAGGCAGTGCTTTGGGTAACAGTCTATGTCTCTTGCTTTGGGCTGCTGTGTGCACTGCTGCTGCAGTGGTTAGTTCATGTGGAGTCTTTGTGATGTGCACTATTCTTATCCTGCATCTCTATAGTAATTCTAGGTGTGCCTTCATTTTTCTTTTTTTTCTTTAACTCTATATTTGTTTCCTCCACAGAGCTTGTCCTGTTAATCTTTGCAAACATTGGTTTTGTTCAGCTCATGGTGCAACTGAAACATTCTTTATTCAACAGCAGCAGCTTAAATCTGTGCAGGGTCTTACCAGAACTGGGTGGAGGAGTGATGAGTGACATCCCTGATGTCCCCTTGGTGTCAAGAAATCCATGCTAAGAGCTACAGTGTGACTGGACCAAACTGAGCAGCACCAAAGGCACTGTTTTTCTGTGGTCTACTGAACTGTCACAACTAAACTGTGACAACCTCTCCCATCCTCTGCAACTGCTTAGGAAAGTGTTGCTGTAGTTGAGCTGAGTATGTCTGAGTTTGCCCCAGAGAGTTAGGAATGTGAATCCCTAAAGCTTGTCTTCTGGCTTTATCTTTTGAAGGAAGCTGCTACACCATCTGATCCATCATAAATCCTTGGTTTGCACGAGCAGTGCTCTAAACCAGGTACGTGAATGACCATTGCATGCAGCTCCCCATCACAGGTTCTTTGCATACAACTGTTCAGATGGGGTTTGACTCATCTCTACACTTCCTGTGGCCAGTCCCATACCCACTAAAATCTTCAATGTGAGCTGAATGGGCTTTTTAATTTTTTTATTTTTTATTAGTTATTTAATAATTTATAAACCCTTCGATTTGCATGAAAACCTGGGTTCTACAGCTTTGCCAATATGGTCCATTACTACTGCCTACTACAACTTGTGTACTTCTATGCCTTTGAGAACGTTTTTACTTGTTAAAGTTGTTAAATAAATGTTAATTTAATTTAATTTTTAATTGGGGAAACAGATTCTGGTGTCAAAATTATATTTGCTGTGATGCCAATGTTTTTTTGTGTCATCTAGTTAACGTGTAAATACTCTTGGTTCAAGAGAAATATGAATGCTAATTATTTCATGTTCCTGTGGAGTTATATGTTGCAGATGTGTAAAAACTTAAAAGGGAATGTTGTAAAACAAGGTGGAAAAATAAATTTTATGTAACTTCTTTACTTCACTCATGTACACCGGGCGTGATGCACCTGGGTTAGTCCTGGCGTGATGGGTCCAAGATGTGATTTGGCAGAATTTTAAGTATGTAGCTTAAGTTGCATTGTGGCCTTGCCTACGTAGGAAATGTGTATCTGAGAAAGGGTCAGTACTGTCTGCTGAGCAGTGTAGACCTGCTTCATTAATCTATTTGTGGTAAATGGTGTTCCAATAGCCCTAACAGGAAGGGTGTTTGGGATGTGGGAAGGAGGTTGATTTTTGGGGTTTTTTATTGTTTGGGTTTTTTTAAACATACTGGTGCCAACTTTTACTGCCTTTCACTTTATTAGTGACTTATTGCTTTCTACAAGTCATCGTTGCAATGTAATGGTATGGCTCAGCTCTGTGTGGAGCACAGAAGGTGCTGCTGGCCCCGCTGCTACTGCCCCAGCTTGCCCCATCCGAGGGACGTGGCTACTGCAACCAC